CTACTACTACTACTACTACTACTACTACTACTACTACTACTACTACTACTACTACTACTACTACTACTACTACTACTACTACTACTACTACTACTACTACTACTACTACTACTACTACTACTACTACTACTACTAACTACTACTACTACTACTACTACTACTACTACTACTACTACTACTACTACTACTACTACTACTACTACTACTACTACTACTACTACGATTACTACTTCGACGACGACTACTACTGCTGCGACGACTACCACTACTACCTGGAAGGATCCCCTCGGGATTCTATAGAAGTCCGTAGAGATACTTTCGGTTTCCTGAGATTCTATAGGATCCCGTAGGGGTTCCATAGCATCCCCTAGAGCTGCTACAACATCCCCGAAGTATTCTATAGGATCCCCGAACGATTCTATAGGATCCCCGAGGGATCTTACATGATCCCTTTAGTGAGATTCTCTAGGATCCCCGAGGGATTCTGAAGGACCCCCGAGAGATTCTACAGGAGACCCAGTGGAGTCGGCATGATCCCCTATACGATTCCGAAGGAGTCTGCAGCTCCGAGGTCGGTTCGGTGGAGAGCGCATAGGTTGAGCTCGTGGGAATACGTGGGCTGCCTTAGGGAGCCCGAAGGATTTCAGAAGATTTCCAACGGCTTCCTGTGGTTTCCTATGCTGGCCTTGTGGTACGTAGCGTTGCGTTGCGTTGCGTTGTGTTGCGTTGCGTTGCGCGGGGGGGGGGTAGAGTACACCAGTGGATTATCTGGTGTACTCTACCCCCCCCTGCGCGGAGCGAAACAACCAGCTGGTGTACCTGGTCCAGGTACACCAGCTAGTTGTTTTGCCTTGTTGTTGTGGTTGTTGTTGTTGTTGTTGTTGTTGTTGTTGTTGTTGTTGTTGTTGTTGTTGTTTTTGTTGTTGTTGTCGTTGTTGCTGTTGTTGTTCTTGTCGTTGTTGTTGCGGTTGCTGCAGCTGTTGTTGTTGTTGTTCTTGTAAGGGGTGATGCTGGTGATGATCTGTGGTGGTGATGGATATGGTGATGATACTGGTGATGGTGATGATGAGGATGACGGGAAGGAGAAGGAGGAAGAGGAGGAGGAGATGGAGGGGGGAGGGCGACAACTACACCGACGACGATGATGACTATGATGAGGATGATGAGTAGGACGGATAATGGTATAGGAAGATGAGGATGATGACGGCGATGAAGACGATGCTGGTGGTGGTGGTGGGAACTATGATGATGATGAGATGGAGAGGATTTGGAGGATTGGAGAGGTGGGTTTGACAAAGGGTTCTCAGCATCTCCGCCTCCCCTTCCCGATCCTGCCCCAGTAGTTGTGCTGGTCCTCATCGTCGTCCTCCGCCTCGTCTCATGATTCTTCTTCTCTTCCGGTTCCTTGCTTGATGTATTCTTCTCTTCTTTTTGTTTTTCTTCGCCTTCTTCTTGTCCGAGTTCGAGGCAGCCTGCGAGTACGGAACGCGTCTGTCCCCGTGCTGTTCTTTCATGGCCCGCTAGCTACAAGCAGGGAGTGGCCGCCCTCCCAGGACGCGTGCACCCCACGAGGCGGCTGTCAGAGAGGTGTTTTTCGGTGGGTGCCACGTCGGTGGGCCAAGTCGGAGGGATGGAACCTCCCTCTGTGTGCGACAGGGCCGCCTCTCGGTGCTCCCATCATGAACACGCTGTTGTTTGTCGTGGGTGTTCTCCCCTTCGGGGCTGTCCCGATCTACCCTCTTCCCGCTGCCCCTTCCCCTCCTCGTCCTCCCACTCCATGTCCTCCTCTTCTCCTCCTCCTCCTCCTCCTCCTCCTCTTCCTCCCCCTATTCTTCTCCCCCGCCCCCGCTTCCTACTCCTGCTTCTCCTCCCCGCTCCCCGTTCTCCTCGCCCCCTCCTTCTCTGCTATCACTCTACCTCCTCTGCTGCTGCTGCTGCGGCTGCCCCTCCTCCTACTCTTCCTCCTCGTCCTCGTCTTCGTCGTCGTCGTCCTCCTCCTCCGTAGCGATTTTGCGTTGAGCGCGGAGCAAGGAGGCGCAGTGATTTCGGTGTGACACAGGGGAGGTGCGCCCCCACTTGCGATCCTTGGCCGTGCGCCAGGGTGTTCTCTCATCACGCGGCTCTTGCTGAGCCGCTGCTACCGTACAGCCCGTGCCGAGGGCACTTTCTTCGTTGGGTGAGCTCCTGTCGGAGCCCATGGGCAAGGATGCGAAGGGATTTTCCACGTACTCAGCGTGCAGGTATAGGTGGAGCTAGAAGTGCAGCGCGTTCTGCTTCAGCTACAACGCCACCTTGGCGCCACAGGAGATGCCATGGCGAACGGCATCGCACGGGATATGGTCGAAGGCAAACGAGGATGAGATCAGGTGCTTCTTTCGCCGCCAGGCGCATTGCAGTGGAGAGAAGCACCTGGGCGTGTGGAGCAACCGAAGTCACGAGGAACGGGGAACGGCCCCAGAGCAGGCAGCCAACATGTCAGAGCTCTTGTAGTGGCTCAAAGGGAGTTGGGGCAACCCGGGAACGGTGGAGCTCATGGCCTGGGAGGACATTGTGGTTCAGCGAGCTCCAGCTGCGGTCCCGCCACGTCAGTTGCTGGAGGTCACCATCTCGGCCAAGGTGTCGCCTGCCGCAGTGCCCAAGCACAATCGGAGTTGTGTGTGTTCAGTGATAACGAGGCGGCCTAGTGACTGGAGGGTGCAAGCAGGCGACAGCTAAGGCGGCATCAGCAGCGATCGCAACTAAAAGGTAGTGGCAGGAGGAGGAGGGTGAGGAGGAGGAGGATGATGAAGCGGAGGCGGAGGCGGAGGCGGAAGCGGAGGCGGAGGAGGAGGAAGACGACGAGGAGGACGACGAGGACGTGGAGGACGAACACTAATAACACACATGCGAGTATCACGGGTAACAAGAGAACGACTAGCCATAATGCGAAACCGTGGAACAATCATACATGCTGACGAGTAGCATTAATACTAACAATAGTGAGAGAAAGACGAATCATACTAATACGACTAAGGCCATTGGTATTAGTAATACTACCACTTCGAATACGCATAGTATTACATACTACTGAGAAGACGGATGCCAATACGATTAAGAACACTGGAATACGAACACTCGTATTACCACTACTAGTATTAGTAGTATTGTAAACCTTACTATTAGCAGTGGCACGACTATGTAACGCCATCTTCTGAACGCTACTATTCATATAACTACTACTACAAAGTGTGACAACTCTACTACTAATAATGCTAATACTGCTAGCCGTGATCGTAATATTAACAAAGACATAGGTAACACTATAACCACTCGTAAAACTAGTGGATTAACTCTACCATTGCGAATGAACGAACACCACAATAACACGGCTGGTAGTAGTATTACGGATATTAATGATCATACACCTCATGCTAGGGATCGTCATATTAATATTGATCATATGGTTAATAACAATAACAGTGGCATTCATACGAATAATTTTAATAATCATGCTAATCACCATATGAATGAACTCAATCACGATAACACTGCGGCTTATACTAAAAATGAGAACAATATTAATAAGCAACATGGTATTTTCAAAATAAGAAGAGGAAGATGAGGAGAAGGAGGAGGAAGAGCAGGGAGGAGAAGGAGGAGGACCAGTCTGAACCGACGACACATCAACCATGTCTGATTAAGCCCTCCTCCCAAATTCTTTTTTTCCACAGGCCCCTACAATTTCGTTTCCATTGAAGGAAGTGCCCCGTTGGGAGACAACCGTTTGAAGATCCTGAGGCGTGCCAAACCAGCATTCTCGGGACTTCAACGCAGCGACCGAGCCTGACTGTTGCGTCGTGACGATCCCGACTCGTGCCAGAACACCCTTCCTGGGACTTCAACACCGCGAATCAACGTGACAATTGCGCACTGGCAATCCTGTGTCGCTCCAGAAAAGAATTTTCGTACGTTGACCACGGGATTCCCTGAAACTCTTGCAAATGTTTAAGAGGAATGTTCGCGGTGCTGAAGCGAGAATCACATTTTGAGAAGGAATCGCCCTCAATCCGTGAAGCTCGTGCAATTTTTGAAACGAATGTGGGCGGGATTTATGCGAGAGACACATTTTCAAAACGAGCCGCCTTTAATCCGTGAAGCTCTTGCGAATGTTGACGAGGAGTGTGCGCGGCGCTAAGGCTAGAGCCACATTTTGAAAACGACCCGGCCTCAATCCGTGAAGCTCTTGTTAACTTTGAGGACGAGTGCGCGTGGCTCTTAGGTGAGAACCACATTTTGAGAACCACCCGCCCTCCATCCATAAAGCTGCTGTCAATGTATAAGAGCGTTAGTGTCATAAGTTTTGAGAAAATCTCAGACGAAACGCCCGGCCCGCCCTTTCGACCAGCCTCGTGGGGCGACAGGCAGGGAGAAGTTGTTTTAAGGAAAAGGAGTTGAGGAGGAGGTGGATGATGATGATGATGATGATGATGATGATGATGATGATGATGATGATGATGATGATGATGATGATGATGATGATGATGATGATGATGATGATTATGATGCTGCTGCTGATGATGATGATGATGATGCTGATGATGATGATGATGATGAGGAGGAGGAGGAGGAGGAGGAGAAGGAGGAGGAGGAGGAGCAGGAGCAGGAGCAGGAGCAGGAGAAGGAGGAGGAGAAGGAGGAGGAGGAGGAAAAGGAGGAGGCGGATGAGGGGGTCAGACAGGGTAGGGGAGAGGGAGGGAAAGAGGAAGAGGATGAGGAGGAGGAAGAGGAGGAGAGGAGGAGGAGGAGGAGGAGGGAGGAGAGGGGAGGAGGAGAGGAGGAGGAGGAGGAGGAGGAGGAGGAGGACGAGGAGGAGGAGGGAGGAGGAGGAGGAGGAGGAGGAAGGGAAGGTCGACAGGGAGGAGGACGACGAGGCAGGAACGGGAGGGGGATGGCCTCAAAACCGCCGTCATGTTTGATGTAGAGCCAGCCGGGGTGGATCTGTCTCCCTTGCGGGTGCTCAGGTCGGCCGGCCGGCGCCACCGGTCGCCTGCGGCCTCGGGGCACGAGGCCCGCGTCTGGAGGGGGACCTACCTTCTGTCCTCCTGCTTCTCCTTCTGCTCCTATTCCCTCTCCTCCTCTTTCTCCTCCTCCTCCTCCTCCTCCGATTGCTCTTCCTCTTCCTCTTTCTCCTCCTCATCCTCCTCCTGGAGGTTGCCAGTGGCGTTGTGCGGCTTTCGGCAGCATTGGGCAAGGAATAGCGGGACTTGCAAGAGGACGGTTTTATTCTTGCGCCTGGATAAACTACGAGCGAACTCTGAGACTGACCTGGTGCTGCCACGGCCGCTCCGCGCAGGCTGCTAGCCGGCCCGTCCATTCTCGGTAAAGTTTCGCCAGCCGTTGCTCGTTCGTCCTCCTCGAGATCTTTTCTGGCCTGCAGCTTACCTCGAGAGTCACACGTCACCGGTAGTGGATCTCGCGACGAAGTTTTTTTGCGGATCCCCGAGGTCCGAGTCCTGAGTTCCTCGAGGCTCTTTATCCGCCTCCTCCCCCTCATCCGCATCTCTCCAGGACTTTCCACCCTCCCCCCCCCTATCAAGCAAGACAAAGTCGGCGCTTTTCCTCTCAGCGTGGACACGTTGCAGACTTCGCGGCAGGAATGGAACGCTTCGCGCATCGCGCGCTCGAAAGGGCGACGCTTCACTCCCGCCCTGGTGCCGCGCAGGTCTCGCCGGAGAGTGGCTCTCACCGCTCGGGGGGGCGCGAGTGGTTCTCACTCGCCGCGTCCTAGGGGGCGGGGCCGCGCACGCGTGGGCGCACGGTCGCCCCCGCCCAGGCCCCGTGCGACGCCACTGGCCCCTCATGCTCTTGGAGGGCGGTGGGAGTGGGCGGCGCCCGCGGACTCGTGCGAACTGGCAAGCTGGATCCCCCCTCCATCCCCTCCTGCTTCCCGCCCTCCTCCTCCGCCTCCTCCTCTGTCTTCCCGTAGGAGCTGTCTCCTTCCTCCTTTCCCCCACTCTTCCTCCTCCTCCTCCTCCTCCTCCTCCTCCTCCTCCTCCTCGGTCCTCTGGCGTCTTGACCAGACTACGGCGTCAGAAAACCATCCGAGGACGAAAAACTGGCACCCAGGGACGGGGTCGAGAACTCTGGGGGCCCGCGTCACGAAAGCATCGTCCATAATCGAGCCCCGTCCGCTGTGTACTCAGTAGCTGCGCTGTAGCCCGAGTCAAACGATTGTGGTGTGAATCGCGTCCACGTTCGAGTTTGACGTGAACGCTCTATGATGATGGGGGGGTGGGGGAGGAGGTGGAGGAGGAGGAGGAGGACGAGGAGGATGGGGAGGGGTTCCCCCCCCCGCCGCCTCGTTCCAGTGGCCAGGAAGGTGTGCGTTCATTGTGCGGCACCCGTTTTCATGCCCACCCCCAGCTCTCTCTGCCTTCTCCTCCAGCCCTCTTCCTTACATCTAGCTCCTCCCTGTCGCACCTCCAGGTGTGTCGTCAGGGCGCGTTTCGCCTTGCACTTCCTCGCCAGTAATGCTCCTCGGGCTTGACATTTGCAGCAGTTTCACGGACGGAAGGTGGGCCGTTTTCAAAAGGTGGCTCTCGCCTAATCACCGCGCGCATTCGCGCTACGAAAACCTGCAGCAGTTTCATGGATGGAGGGCGGACGGTTTCACGGTGCGGTTCTCGCCTCAGCGCCGCGCGCTTTTGTCTTGTAACCGTGTCAAGGATGGCGGGCAGGTGGTTTTCAATATGTGGACCTCGCCTAAGCGCCGCGCGCATCCTCCTCACAAGTTTGCAGCAGTTTCAAGGATTCGTATGGCCGAGATCCCAGGAATGTGGTGTTGGCACGATTTGGGGCTAGCAGGGCGCAACAGTCATTTTGATCTGCGATATTGGATTTCCAGGAAATGTGTGTTCTGGCACGACTGCGGATTGTCAGGACGCAACAGCCGCCTTGATCTGCGGCGTTGAAGTCCCATGCACGGTGTTGTGGCACGACAGGATTCTCAGACGGTTGTCTTCTAATGGGCTCCTCCTTTCAATGAAAGTTCATTCTTTCAGGGACCTGTGAAGAGGGGAATCGGGTAGAGAGTCTATTGCCACATCGTTGATGCGTCTTGGGTTTACACTGGTCCTCCTTCTTGTCGTTGTCGTCGTCGTCCTCCTCCTCCTTCTCCTCCTCCTCCCTCCTCCCCCTCCAAATTGGAGGATCGAGTTATCCGCATTTTAGGCTGATAATGCTCGAGCGTTTCAGGGCCACCAACAGGAGGTCCCAGATCGGGATGTCGACGAGCAGGCAAGGGGAGTCAACACCAGTCGTAACAATGAGCAGCATCCGCAGACGATGAAGAGACGCATCCAGGATGTCACTTCATGCCTGCTCGTTTAAAAACCACACCATCCACCCTCTCGTCCCATCAGACCACCCTTGCTTCCTTGTAGCTCTGGCTCGCCGCGGCAATTTTCAAGTCAAAGTGCATGATGTCTCGGGCTCGGTGGCCTCCCGTCCAGAGGCGCAAGGCGACAGAGAAACACAACGCGCAGAGGCAGAGAGACGTGCACAGTCAGTGGCAGAGATGGGTGAAACTACAGTTTGAGAGATGCAGAAAGGCAGGTGTAGAGGTGCAGACAGACCGACGGACGGCCTGACGGGTGGACGCCCTTTCGATAGGTGCAGATCCGACGATGCATCCCAATCAGAGCTTCTGTCCCGCCACTGGCCCATCACCCATGGTCGGAGGAGGAGGAGGAGGAGGAGGAGGAGGAGGAGGAGGAGGAGGAGGAGGAGGAGGAGGAGGAGGAGGCGGAGGAGCCTGTTCTCTGCCCTCGGCCCAAGGGCAGGCCTGGATCCCGCCTCCCGCGGAGGGTCGCGGGGGAGCGGCCCCGGGCCGCGCGCCAGATCGACCTGCCTGGGCCACCCCCCCCAGGCCTCCCGGAGGCTCACCGAGGTCCCTCGAGGCCCGAGGCCCTCCGAGAGGGCTCCCCCCCCACGCTCCTCCTAGGGGGGGGGGGGGGGGGCGAGGGGGGGGGGGTGAGGAAGCTTCCTCCCCCCTCCCACCAGAAGCCTACAACAAAAAAACGGAGCATGGGGTCATGGGCCCATGAGGCCACGGGCCCCATGGGCCCATGGGCCCGCCTCTCCCACAGAGCCTCTCCCAACTCCCCCCCCACGAGCACCCAGCACTGGCATCGGCGGCGCCGACGCCGACGCCTTTCGACGCCGACGCCGACGCCGACGGCGACGGCACCGCGAGAGCGAAGCGCAGGCCGCCTCCGCCGAGGCCGCCGGCCGCCTCGCGGCACCTCGGGCGCCCGAGGGGTGGCCGCCGCCTCCGGCGCAGCCGCTTGAGCAGCCCGCGTCGCGGCCGCCGCGGCAGTGGCAGCTGCACGCCGCCGAGGGCGGGTGTGCGGAGGCGCAGGCGCCGCCGCAGGCGCCGCCGCAGGCGCCGCCGCAGGCGCCGCCGCAGGCGCCGCCGCCAGTGGGCGTGCACCCGCCGCAGGCGCTGCCGCAGGCGCTGCCGCAGGCGCCGCCGCAGGCGCTGCCGCAGGCGCTGCCGCAGGCGCTGCCGCAGGCGCTGCCGCTGGTGGGCGTGCAGCCGCCGCACGAGCAGGTGGCGCAGGCGCACGCGCGTGCGCGGGGCGGGTCCTCGCGCGTCGCGCGCACGCACAGCGTACTGGGCGGCCCCCGCTGGCTGGAGAGGGCGAGGGGCCGAGGGACTCGAATGCCTGGGGGTCCCCTGCGTGGCGGGGGATGGGAACCCACTCGGGAGCACCCGGACGAGAGGAAGGAGGAGGATGAGGAGCAGGATGAGGATGAGGAGGAGGAGGAGGGTGGTGGTGGTGATGATGATGCTGATGCTGATGCTGATGCTGATGCTGATGCTGATAATGATGATGATGATGATGATGATGATGATGATGATGATGATGATGATGATGATGATGATGATGATGATGATGATGATAATAATGATAATGATGCTCATGATGATGATGCTGATGACGATGCCGATGATTATGATGATGATGACGATGATGATGATGACGATGATCACGTTGAGGAGGAGGATGAGGATGATGAGGGTGATGATGTTGATGATGATGATGATGTTTCTGTTGTTGGTTATGATGATGGTGATGATGATTCAGGCAATGATGATGATTCATGTGAGGATGAGGCTGAGGATGAGTAGGAGGAGGAGGATGGACGTAAACGTAAGACGCATGAGCGACGTTGCAATCAGTGTTCCCTTCAAGTTTCCTTGCCCCATTTCATTCTGGGAAGTGCCCCATTGGAAGACACCTGCCTGATAATCCCCAATCGTTGTCAAACGTAGTTCGCAGGATTTCAACGCGGCGCTGCGTCTTGACCATCCTAAATTGTGCCATAGCATTAGTCCTGGGAGTTCAATTTCGCGAATCAACGTGACGGTTGCGCCCTGACAGTCTTAAATCGTGCTAGAGCAGCGTTCCTGGGACTCCAAGCGTACGAATCTTTGACACGATTGCGAACTTTTCTGACGATTGTGCGCGGTGCTGAGGCGATAATCACATTTCGAGAAAGATCCGACCTCCATCAGTGAATGTCGCGCGAAGTTTTGAAGCGAATGTGCGCGACGCTAAGTGGAATCACATTGTGAAAACCACCCGCCCTCCACCAGTGAAAGTGTTGCAAACTTTCAAGACGAATGTGTGCGGCGCCAAGACGGGGGCCACAGTTTGAACACCACCTGCTCTCCACCGTTAAATCTGTTGCGAACGTTCCGAACGAATTTGCGCAATGCCAAGGCGATAACTACATTTTGAAAGCCACCCGCCCTCCATGAGTTTCGCTGTTTCGAGCTTCAAACGACGAGTGTACGCGACGCGAAGGCGAAAACACCACTGTGGAAACGATCCGCCGTGCATTTTTGAAACTGCGCCAAACCTTCAAGACGAGCGTGCGCGGCGCTAGGGCGAAAGACACGTGTTCCTCTATCCTTGAAGCTGCTGCAGACTTTTACGGGCGACTGTGCGCGGCGCTAAGGCCGAGAGCCACATTTTGACAAGGAACCGCCCCCTGTCCGTGGAGCTTGTGTAGATCAGGCTTCAGGATCATAAGTGGTAAGGAAGTCTCAGGCGAAACGCCTGGCAGGCCCAGGCGACGCGTCTGAGGGTGCGACAGGAAGGACTTACCTGGAAGGGCAGAGGAGGGAGGAAGAGGAGGATGATGGGGGAGGTGAGGAGGAGGCGGACGAGGGTGATGATGATGATGATGATGATGATGATGATGAGGAGGAGGAGGAGGAGGAGGAGGAGAGGAATGATGAGGAGGAGGAGGGGAGGAGGGGAGGAGGGGGGGAGGAGGAGGAGGAGGAGGAGGAGGAGAGGAGGAGGAGGAGGAGGAGGAGGAGGAGGAGGAGAGGAGGAGGCGAGGCGGAGAAGAAGGAGGAGGAGGATGGGGGAGGAGAAGGAGGAGGAGGAGGAGGAGGTGGAGGAAAAGGAGGAGGAGGAGCAGGAGGAGGAGGGGGAGGAGGAAAAACAATAATAATATGAAGAAGAGGGAACATACTAATAATAATACTAATAATAAAAGGAAACAGAGGAGGACGAGGAGGAACAGTAGGGGGAGGAGGTGGAGGCGGTGGAGGAGGCGGAGGAGGACAAGCTAGGTGCACTAGCGTCAAATCCGATGTCCCCCTCTCTCCCATCCGTTATCATTGCGTATATCTTCTATTGATACGGACAGTCGCACGGTCCTAAGATGGTACGCGTTGGATGGAACATCAGGGCGTAGAAGAGCACGGCAGAGCATAACATGTCATACCATGGCGTGGCATTGCGTAGTGAAGCATTGCATCACAAATAACAGTAACCCAAAGCATGGCATCGCACAGCGGTGCACAAAACAGTATCGAATTGCATGCCGTGGCATGGCACCGGGTGACTTGGATGGTAAGTGGCCCGTATACGAGAGGACAAGGCCTGTCCGGAATGCCGCCTTCATCTCCTCCGCAACCAAGCCTGCCCGATGTGGGCGCTTTCGAATGCCAAGTGCCGTCCGGTAGGGATATGATAATGCAGGCCAGAAGGAGGCCAGCGGGAGGCAAAACGAGGCCAGCGCTGCAGCCAGAGCACGATTTTGAATGACCGAAGCGCGGAAATGAGGGCGGCGCTGCAGGGGGAGCACCATTTTGGAAAAAACAGAACACTGGAGTATAAAAACACATAGGGGAAAAACAACAACAACTAATGAAATCCTGTGTGTAAAAAACAATACGCGGAGAGGACGGGGCACTCTCCAGACAGAGTCAGGGGAGAGAGGAGAGTAGTATTCATCTTGTGTAGTTGTGGAGGAGGAGGAGGAGGAGGAGGAGGAGGAGGAGGAGGAGGAGGAGGAGGAGGAGGAGGAGGAGGAGGAGGAGGAGGAGGAGGGGAGGAGGAGGAGGAGGAGGAGGAGGAGGAGGGGGAGGAGGACCATGGGGAGGAGGACAGGGAGAAGGAGGCGGAGCAGGAGGCGGAGGAGGATGAGAGGAGGAGGAGGAGGAGGAGGAGGACGAGGAGGAGGACCATGGGGAGGAGGACAGGGAGAAGGAGGCGGAGCAGGAGGAGGAGGAGGAGGAGGAGGAGGAGGAGGAGGAGTAGGAGGAGGAGGAGGATGAGGATGAGGAGGAGAGGCAGAGGAGGAGGAGGAGGAGGCGGAGGAGGAGGAGGAGGAGGAGGAGGAGGCTGCTCCCGAGCTGCTCCCGGGGTGCTTCGGGTCCGCGGACCCCCAGGGGCCGCCCCGCGCGCGCGCGCACTAGACATACTGTTAACCATCGGGGGCGGCAAAGAGGGGGGTGATGACTAGGGGGGGGGGTGGATATCTTGGCGGGTCCGTGATATTTCCCCAGATTTCACGGCTCCTCTTCTTTTTTCATTACGTTTCTCGCCTCCCCCAAGGGCCGCGCACATGCCGCTGGCCATGATTTGCGCATCCCCCTCTTGGATGCCCCCCTCTTGGCCGCCCCCGAGACCAGTTGCCGGAGATCTTAGCACGCCTCTGTCCCGTTGGGCTGGCGAATTACGCATTCAAAGGCCATCAGGGCGTTGTCTACGCTGTAACCCCTAGCTGAGCAACCGCTTTCGCGCATCTCTTTCTGTGCACGGCTCCTATTCCCTCTGTTGAGCCCTGTGGCAACCGTCTCTTGCCGTACTCCGCGCTCACTCAGCATGCAGCCGTGCAGCCTTGCCACATAATTACGCAGTCAGAGCAGCCACCGCGTTGCGCGGGCAAGATACGGGGGAGGGGCACGGGAGTCATCGGGCGGAGGAGAGAGAATCACCGCCGTTTGTCCTGGCGTTGGCCAGATATCCGCGACCAGCAGCGCCGCCAGCCTACCTCGCCACCACCTCGATCTTGCTCTCACTTAGCCCTGTGTCGCATAGCCTGCCCACAGCTCTCTGCAGCTCTTGAGCAGTCACCACGCGGCTTCCGCTCAGCTCTCAGCCACCTCAGCCCCCCGGGTCCTCACCGGATGCATCCGCGCTCCAGCCAACCGCTGGCATGCCTCTTGTGGTTGGGGATGCGCTGGGGGCCGGGGGCGCCCGAGGGCCCATGAACGGTGAGCGCCGCGTGCCGCCGCCGAGGACGGCGCAGACCTCGTCACCCACACGGGGCATCCCTGCGGGGCATCAGGTCTTCCCTTTGTGGCGGCCTTGTCTCGCCTCGGCGAGCGAGGGCTCCCCGGGGTGGGGCTGGGGGCGTGCTCCGTGGGACCCCTGCGGGCGGCCGCGCCGGAGGAGCAGGAGGAGGCGGAGGAGGAGGAGGAGGAGGAGGAGGAGGAGGAGGAGGAGGAGGAGGCGGAGGGGGAGGAGGAGGAGGATGATGATGATGAGGATGATGATGATTATGATGATGCTGCTGATGATGATGCTGAGGATGATGATGCTGCTGATGATGATGACGATGATAAAGGTGATGATGATGCTGCTGATGATGATGCTGTTGATGATGATGATGAGGATGCTTCTGCTGCTGCTGATGATGATGATGCCGAGGATGATGAGGATGATGATGATGATGATGATGATGATGATGTTGATGATGATGATTATGATGATGATTATGATGATGATGATGATGATGATGATCATGATGATGATGATACATGTGATGATGATACATGTGATGATGATGAAGATGAAGATGATGATGATGATGATGATGATGATGATGATGATGATGATGATGATGATGATGATGATGATGATGATGATGATGATGATGATGATGATGATGATGATGATGATGATGATGATGATGATGATGATGATGATGAGATGATGAGGATGAGGATGGGATGAGGATGAGGATGATGATGATGATGATGATGATGATGATGATGATGATGA